GTGAACTATTTTCAGAAATATACCTTCAAAGTTCCAGCGAGTTCACATTTTTGTGAAATCTAGGAAAGTTCGAAATACCGCACAATCAACCAAAATGGCCGATGAAATTTATGCAAAATTGCACATTTTCAACAGGCCAGTACAGAAAGAAGGAAACTTGCCTGGATTTCATATTCCCACAGTTTGTAATTTACACTTTGATCATTCTTCTGAGCTAAAAGTTATCTTGAAGTAAATACGTTTTGTCTATTTCTTGGCGGTTTGAAAAATAGAACTATCGCAATTTAATTTACATGTAAAATTTTAACTTCCTTCCTTCCCCTCCCCGTCCCCCCTACTTTACTCGCTCCATTTTTCGCGCTGTAATTCTTTGCTCCCGAACCCCACAAAAACGCTTGCTACGCAGGCTAAATCCTGGATGGTGTGCGGTACTAAGGTCTCTGATTTCTACTGTTGTGTTATGCCTTTAGGAGCGTTTGGACCACATTCACACCTGACTCCAGAGTCTATTATAAGGGGTCATACATTCTGCAAACTGCCATATTTTGCTCTTTCAAAACTGCAGACCTCTTTTGTTTTCCCCTAAAAGCCAAAACCGGCCTACTACTAGGACAATTACCATAATAACCGACCTCTTACCAGTACGTAACAAATTCTTTACTAAATGTTAGCTCAGTAATCGTATTTCTCCTTTCAAAGGCGCTGACCACAAGAATTTAAGAACAGAAGAAATTGTTTCTAACTCCACTCAGTAGAGCACACAAAATGTTTTGATGTCTAATGGGCTGTTCACAAACACTAAGATTGCTCTAGATGTTTGAATGACTGCCACAAAAACATGCAAAAACCAAAAACTGTGAGCTAAATTTGCGATTTCCTGTAACCATGTGATAATCTCTTAACTATAAACCGCCAGATGAATGTGAATGCACCTGCTAACTAGAACTGAAAATTGGGTTAAACCGCCAAACTGCCAGAGCATAAGAGAACATCTTACCTGTAGGAAACTATGTACTAGCCCCTCCCCCAGTACATTGCTGAAGAATTTAAGTTAATTGTGTACTTGCACTAACCTTAAATCCACTTTGTCGTGTGAAAAAAGCTGGAAAGTCTAGGGATGCTCCATATGTCGCAACTAGAACACCTTGTGTTTCCTAAAAATTACCACAGTTAATTTTCTTTCCGGTGGGACCTTACTGCTGAGTCAATAATTTAACCCATCGAAACTTGGATCCTAAGTCTCTTACTAGCTTTCTCTCAATAAAAGAAAAGTCTCAGGCCACTGGACCAACATAAATGAGATCGAAACCTTCAGCGGTTTTGCCATGGAACTAAGTCTGATTAGAGTGATGGTCTATTGAAAAGAAAATCAGAGAATTTTACTTAAAGTTGATCTATTTTGATTCATTGAATTGTAGTCACAAAGAAAGTGGGCAATGAAAATTATGCAGAATAATGGAATTATGCTGAATAGTAAATGTTCTTATTGTAGTTAGCAGAGATTGATTCAGTTCTTTGTGCATTTCAAAATGGCAGCACAACCTCTTTTCCTGACAATAGGGTGTTGCACTGGTTCAAAGAGACGCACAACATGTACGCATTCCTGCCAAGCTACTTATGCCGTGTTTTCACGAGAGAGGTTTGCTACGGTTACTACTTACAGAGGTTTTGTAACTAGAGAAGCTGTTTACATGAAACTAATTAACTAAAGTAGGCCTCATACAACGGACGGTTTGAGGTTTTCTCGGAAAGCAAGTACTGCAATGTTGCTCAGAAACTATTGGAAAATTATAAAATTTGACTTTACTCCAATGCCAAACGCAGGTGGTTGTCATTTTGCTTGTGGTGATGTCGAGCCAAACTCTCCTTAAATGTAAAGCTTTGTAGATGAATAGTGGAAAGAAAATTTGGATATCTCGCTGAGCCTCATCGCGCAAAAAAACCTGAAACGGCATCTGCCATGGAGCCCGGGCTACGTAAATGTTTACCGGTACTTCTTCTTATTCAGAGCCGCTTTCAATTCTAACATTTGCTTGTCTTCTCCATAGACCTTAATGAAGCTTTTTTTCTCTCTCTTTGTGGTAGTTTTTCTCAGTTCTAGTTGCTCCTGCCTGTACACTGCTACTAAGCTACTGAGCTTCTAACAGAAAGGAAAAGCTTACGGCACTTGATGATGAACGTGAAACAGCAGCCCGGGATTTCTTTGCCTAAACATGAGTTTATTTAGCTTTTTTTGCCCGTTGACTTGAAACCTACTTACATTAGGAGGAATCTTTGTCTATTTTTCTCTTCTTCAAGCGCTGCACGCGTGAACACTTGCTACCAAGACACTGCGACAACGTCCGCTTTTCCTCGGTTACCGTCGGTTACTGAGCTAAACCATGCCTGATGGGGCGTTTAATTGACTACAAACCTAGGTTGGCTTACTTTTGATTTTGCCACCATTTACTGAGGTTTGTTACTGTGTTTACACGATTAAAAATTTCACTTCAGTAAAGTTAAAACAAAACCAAGGTAAACATCTCTCGTGAAAACACAGGATTAGTGAGGACTTACTAAATATTCCAGAGTTAATTCAATATCCAAAATAGATTTAGCTCCAGCACACACCACAGCCACAGGAGTTTTTCCAAGCTCAGTAAGGTCTGCACTGATATCAAATGCTGTAAAAAAAGAGCAATGAAGGTCCCTTATTTCATGATTCTTTTAACATATAGCAGATCATCAGCTATTTTGCTAAATAAAACATAATACCATGGGTACTAACAATACCTTAAATTTAACATATAACTAATTGAAAATACTTATAACTACAACTGTGGATTCAAAGTACAAAGACTGTTTCTTGTTCTTTAAATCGTTGTGAACTGCTGAATAAATAGGTATTCACTCAACTTTCAAACGGTGATATACTGTACAAAAATAAAATTAATTATCTACATAAGACAAATGGTACTGTCAAGGTGAAAGAGGCATGGATCATGTTACAATTTTGACAGTGACTAAAGTGAAACATGACGTGATTATAGCAGAGCTCCAGTATTTGGGCCGCCAAGCGGAGCATCATACTCAAAAGAACCTGTGAAATGCTTTTATCATGGTCATCATGGCTTGCGGTATTGCTTGTGGGTACCTAGGCACAATGACAATGATGATGATAGCAATGCCGCAAAACATCGCACCCATACTCCAACTAATAGGTTGACCAAGACATGCACCCTTGGTCAATCGATTGACACCTGTCAATTCACGGTATCCACTGACCAGTATCACGTGACCATATCGCTGGCTCAAGTTTAGAGCTCATCGAAGTCATGTGTTTTTTCAAAGTTGACCGCTACCAAGGTACTGGTTTTACATTGGATTGCATACTCAAGGCAGGTTAACTTATTGTAATCCGAGGACTGGGTTGTGAGGGAGCCAGTTAAAGCTAACCTGGAATTAAATAAATTTTTCTTGTATGAAAATGTTTTTCACTGCTTATGTTATGTAGTTTGAGAATATTCAAACTCAAAACAGAAGGCCAAGCAACATAAACAGAAAACATCACCACAAAGTTACAAAACTAAAACAAAAATTCTTGCTTATCCTGAGTTGGCTTAATCAGGCTCTGAACAACCTGGACCAGGAGCTCCACTTTTCAAGGCTTGGCTAAATCTATATTTTTTAAATAGTCATGTTGACGAGTTAAAATGCAAAGAAACGTATCAACTTGAGCTCTAAATCATTTTAGAAAACAACCCTAAGAAAATACGTGCAATGATTGGTTAACAATCGTGTTTCTATAGAAAACAACTCAACAGAAACACAGAACTAGCATGCGGTATTGACGTAATGATGGCACGGGCAAAGAGTATTTACATTTTGATGTTCAAAACAAGTTGTTTCCCTTTTTTCGTCGCGGTGTTTTCTAAAAGAAATAGACAACATGTTCTCCGTGTTTCTATCGACTTATAGAAACACTCGTGAAAGTTTAGGAGAACTCGAAAAAGCTGTGGAAACACTCGTCAACAGCTCGTGTTCCCACAGCATTTCTCGTTCTCCCAAACTTCCACTCGTGTTTCTATAACTCAATAGAAACACGGTAAATGTTTTCTATTTCTCAAATGTTGCTGTAGTCAATTTGAATTCACCTCATTAAGCTTTCAAATGACATATTAAACTCCCAGATCTGTGGGGATATACTTGGGAAAATTGTTTTTGCAAAATTGAAAAGCCAGCACAGTTAGCACTAGCCTGCGAACGCAGACGTATTTCCGGCTGTCGCTTGTCTCCGCTGAAAATAACGTCTGCGAACCCGAGCCAGGAAACGATTTCTGTGACGTAATGACTTTTGTCTCTCCTTGGTCAATCAGATTCCATGATAGAATGAAACTTGAGTGCTCCTCGCAGCGAACACCTCGCGCAGTAGTTCTGGGGCTACTTGAGCTAAACTGTGATTGGCTTAAAATACCTACGTCAAAGAAATTGTTTCCTGGCTCGGGTTCGCAGACGTTATTTTCGGCGGAGACAAGTGACAGCCAGAAATACATCTGTATTTGCAGGCTAAGTTAGCACTGTTGAATTGTGAAGTTGTCTCGATCATACTATGACCTGACAGGGCTTGATACACTGCATGAGCTATAGATTATTTATCATATAACACATTCAGTGACCTCAAAATAAACAAGTTTTTCGACCTGTTGTTTCTCAAAGCTTTCACATAACACGTTATGATTGGGGTGAAAACAAAATTCCTTCTAAAAAAGACGGGAAAAAAATCTTTGAGCCAATACCAAAAATCAATCTCAGATAAACAGAAACCTATGATGTACTATAGCACGGAAATCATTCTAACTAGTTCCAAAATGATTCATCTCTCACAGTATTTCTGTAATATCAATAGCTTAATGACAGAATCCACTTGTTAACCTGACTGGTAAATCCACTAGTGCCAGGCTATTGGACAGAACTTTCTTTGCACACTGATCAAGGGTGTCCTACCATACATTTAACCAAGAATATTAAAAGAAATTTATTTTAAATATTAGCTGCCTTTAATTTAGTGAATACTTTTCTCTCCTTTTGGATATGTTTATGTTATTGTAAACTAAGTAAATGGAGAGACTCACTTGACTGTGCTCCTCTGTGCACACCACCAATACCTCCCGTAACAAACACTGGAATCCCTGTGGTATTTGCAGCAATCATCGTGCTTGAAACTGTAGTGGCTCCAGTCAGACCCTGGCAAGTACAACACACTTGACATGTCTGCTGCAACAATCTGTAAGTCTACCATTCTTATCTAATAAACCATCTCAGGTGGCTGAAATAATACCCACAGCAGAGATATTAATCCTCCTCCCAAAAACTGGTTGGCTGATAAGAATTTGAGAATCATCTCTCAAGCAAGGGCACAAACAGCTAGCTACAAGTCAATTTCCAATCAGAGTGATGTACATGCAAAACTGGCAAGATCTTGTCAATTGAAGAGAAAAGATATCACAATGGTTGATTCACCTGGCTTTTCACACAACTAAGGAGTAGTTGTATGGGTCAGGGACCTCTTTACCAAAATATTTCTCCAGGTAAGTTTAGAAGACAACAGATATTTCCTTGACAAAGACATATCTCAAAAAATGCTTTTAACTTTAAAATATTTAATAAAAATAATATCCACAATAAAGAATGACACCTTGCTGATGACATAAGGTAAGTCTCTCCTAGATGTCTTAACAGCACATGTATCTTGAGCCAGGCTCTCTAAGTTTTCTTCAGACAAACCTAAATATGTTTTAAAGCAAACAAAGTCATATCACTAGTTATCCTAGATTGAAATAATTAATTGTTGTGTATTTTGTTTCTTAAAAAACTATCTACACTTGGCTGACTCCTTCTACATACCAACATGTATTTTCCCAGACATGACTGCCACAGTGGCTGGTATTGCTCCATTGTTTTTTACAATCTTCTCTACTTCTTTGGCCACTCTTCAATTTACCACACATGCAAAGTAAGACATCAATAATTATATGAAATCTTACAATCCATAACAAAAGAACTTATATGAATGCCTTCATTCATCAATCAATCAATCAGTCAGTCAGTCAGTCAGTCAGTCAGTCTACCAACCAACCAAGCAATCATAATGTGTGGTTCCAGAACATATCCAATGCTGGTTGAAAAATGACAGAGAAAGATCAAACATATGCCTAATTGGTAGACATCATGTCCACACTATCAAAAAGCTAAAATCATAGGTATGGGTCTCAGTTTGAAGTGTTCTCTGTTTTTGATGACAGAGAAGTTTGCATGGGTTTATTACTTTATGTTCAATGAATCAACGAATGTACATGTGAAGCATATTTCTCAAGACTCCACTTTTAACTAATTTTGATTTCTCTCAAAACTTTTTTACCAAAATTTGAGTTGCCAAACTTGTGGTACAGCTTATCTGTGAGCATGGCTTATCTGCTGGTGTTTACAGTATGTACATTATTTATGGGGATATTTACCAGGTCAGGATTAAGACTGCTGGGTTACGAAAGATTAAGGTTCTGAGATTTAATTTTCCTAAAAATTACCTTGGAAAATTCTAGATGTAAATGCAGATGCAAATGTAAATTCTAGATGTAAATGTGATCAAACATGAAATGAAATCTTTCCTACCATTCCAGTGCTCCTCACTGTCCATAGTTAGATATATTTCAAGACAAATGGTTTTGAATTGATTTTGTTAACTTTAGTAAACTGTTACTACAGGGATAACGATTAAAAGATGTGATAACCTAGTTACAGTATGTCTGAAATGAGAATAATTTTGTACCAGTATCAATTGTAATATACAAAGCAAGAATCTCAACTGACTGCACAAATAATGCCAGAAAATTATAGGCATCAGCTGTGTTTAAGCTAAATACAGCAAGATCTTTAAAGTATAAAATGTACAACATCACTGTTGTCAACTTCATTGTACATTTATTGCTGCACCTCTTCTTCGGTATTTTGTTTGACTTGATGTCCAATGAACATGCTGCTTAGGAGTGCTGGTGTCTGTGTCGTCTGAAGTCAGAACAATAATGGAAAATATATGGCAAAGAATGGATGCGACATTTCTGTTGGTTTGGTTACATGAATCGATTGGGAAAGTGTGATAGTGTTTATTCGATCGCATTTCAAACCCTCTGGACAGAAAACTCTTTGTATACCCTCCTCCCCTTTGAAATTTAGCTCTTTCAGACCCCCCTACCCCTTGGAATTTCTATGACCCTCTGTGGGGGTGGGTATGGATATTTTCTGAAACCACACAATATCAATCAATTAATCAACCCCTATATGTGTTAATCAATCGTTCCTTTAATGAATATCGACCATTCAGTCATACAGACAGATGGTCATGTACAATGAATCAGTCAATCTGTTCAGTAACTGTATCTGTGCATAACCTGTAAATAAATCAATCAGCCTATAAACCATGCAGTCACAGGTAGTCTATCTATGTAACAATCAGGCAGCCTGATCAGTTTAAAGTTATTACAAGCAGTTTTTTGAGAAAATGTTGTGCTGCAATGGTGGGCAACAAATTTATTATAAAAAACATGCATGATTCGTCATCTTGGAAGCTCTCAAAGTTGTCGTCTTGTGAAATCTATGAATGTCCTTGAAAAAGAAAAAAAAGATCGTGTCCCTCTTCTTTGTCAAAGCCAAGACCAAAGAAAGGGAAGAAAACATTTAGCTGTGAATCAGCAGCAGACCTTGCTTCGAGTGACAAAGGTTCTTTCTTCAACCGAGACGAATGGCTACAAGAAATCGAAGAACATGAACGCAGACCGGATAC